TCAGTCCTCACTATGGTTACATGATTCACTGCGAGAAAAACATTCGGGATTTCGCAGATGAAGTTGCCAATCTCAAAAATGCCCATACAAGGGTCCAGACAGAGGTCGATCAAGCCAGGGACAATGCTGAAGACATTTACGAGGAAGTTTCGAAATGGCTGACGGTAGTGGGGAACTTATTGCCGACGCTGGAACAAGACAAGATCAGGTTAGTCCAAGGCGAAGATAATCTCAAGTGTCTTGATGTTTGCTCACGTTACCGGTTGGGTAAGGAAGGGAAAAAGAAGACGCCTGATGTTACCGAGCTTATAGAGGCCGCCCGCACATTTGATCCTGTTGGACACCGACGTCGTCTAACTGGTAATCGGCGCAGAAGTTACAGCACAAGCTATGTGAGTTTTCAATCCAGGGAGTTGGTTTTTAAAGAGATTATGAAGGCACTAAAAGATGACGGGACTTACAAGATTGGAATATATGGAATGCCTGGTGTTGGAAAGACTAGGATGATGAAAGAAGTTGCCCAACAAGCCGAAAAGCATAATCTTTTTGATGAGATCGTCAAGATAGTTTTCACCCAGAATCCTAATGTGAAAGAAATTCAAGAAAAACTTGCAGAGGGTTTGAATCTGACTTTAGATAAAAAGACTGAAGATGCAAGGAAGGAACTGTTGCTCAGAAGATTGAAAAATGGTAAAAAGATCCTTGTATTGGTCGATGATGTTTGGAATGGTCAAACTAAATTGGAGAACATAGGATTTCCGACTATAGATGATCAAACCAAAGGTTGCAAAATTCTGTTGACCTCTCGGCAACCAGATGCGTGCGAAGCAATGGGGGTTCCTGAAAATGTGAACTTCCAAATTGGAGTCTTATTGAAAGATGAAGCATGGTCCCTGTTCGAGAAGAAGGTTGGAGATTCCATCAAAGCTGACATGCGTTCTGTAGCGGAAGCGGTGTGTGAAGAATGTGCATGTTTGCCATTGGCAATACTTGCAGTTGGAGGAGCACTAATGAAGAAGAGTAAGAGAGCATGGGAAGATGCACTTCAACAATTGAGAAATTCCACCGCAAAGAACATTGCAGGATGGAGCACAAAAGTCTATTCACCCATAGAGTTCAGCTACAACAACCTGGAGCATGCTGATGCGAAATCAATTTTTTTGCTTTGTTGTTTGTTCGGAGAAGATGTTGAGATTTCCATTGATGACTTGGTAAGCTATGGAGTTGGATTGAGGCTTCTACAAGGCGTGGATACAATGGAAGAAGCAAGGAATAGAGCACATGTGTTGGTCACGACGCTCAAGACATCCTCTTTGTTATTAGACGGTAGTGAGAAAGACTTGGTGAAAATGCACGATGTCATTCGAGATTTCGCCATTTGGATTGCATCAAAAGAGGAAGATACCAAGTTTCTAGTGAAAGATGGTGTCAGGGAGTGGCCAGATGAGAATGAATATAAACAATGCAAAGCAATCTCATTAAGGTTCAATAATGATTGTGTGCTTCCCAATGATTTAGAATGTTCAGAACTACACACCTTAATGTTGGAATTCCACAATCTTTCATCAGAAGTTCCAAGTAGCTTTTTTAAAGGGATGGAAAAGCTTGAAGTTTTACAATTGTGTAACATGCAGATTTCGGAACTACCGTCGTCACTTAAAAATCTTAGGATGTTATGTCTATACAACTGCAAATTGGTGAAGGTAGATTTTCTCAAGGAATTTAAAAAACTTGAGATACTATGCATTGAAGATTCTGATCTAAGAGAACTGGCTCCAGAAATAGGCCAGTTGACTCGCTTGCGGTTGTTGGATGTGAGGTACTGTTACAAGCTCAAGATCATTCCCTCTGGTGTCATATCAAGTCTATCCCAACTTGAGGAATTGTACATTCCAAATCAGTTTGACCAATGGGAGGTTAAAGACAATGCAAGTCTTAATGAACTAAACTCATTGAAGCGCATAATCAGTTTGCAAGTTTTTGTGCCAGATGTTATGTTACTGCCTTTCATTGAGCCCCTGTTTAAGTCGTTGAACAGATTTCAAATATCCATTGGGAGCAAGCTTAGTTTTTGGGAGCGACCTTCATCAGCAACAAGGATATTGAAAGGAGTGGGTTTCCCTTTGAAGAAGGAGCTTAACATTTTGATGGAGAAAGCTGAAGTACTGTATTTGGAAGACTTGAGAGAGAATGTTCCTAAGGGACTATGCGGATCTGTTTCATTTCGTGAATTAAGTTTGTTAAATGTTGAAAACTGTAAAATGATATATCTCTTTTCCTCAGCCGCTGCAAGAAGTCTTTCACAACTCCAAAAATTAAGTGTAAGTTATTGTGAAATCATGGAGGAAATAGTCAGAGATGACCAAGAAGTTATGGATGGAGTTATTATTTTTCACCATTTGAAGAAAATAGAGTTGAAGTATCTACCCAAGCTCAGAAGTTTCTATGCCAGTATGAAGAAGTCGACAATAAGGGAATGCAACACGTCTACCCTTGTGCAAGCTTTGTTTAACGATAAGGTATGCTCAACACTTACCTTATAATTACTAAAATAAGAATCAATGGCAGAAATAAGCTATAAGTGGGCACCTGTTCCTCAAAGCCCATTGACTAAGGAGATGGGCTGGTTTGTTTGAGGATCGAGGAGCCCACGAGAGAGTAAAATCTGGATGGGCTGCATGCATACATATTCAATCAGCAGACACTTGTCTATATATATATATATATATGTATATATGCAATCATTCTCAGACACACATGAAGCATACATGTCACATGTGTCATGCACGATACGTCTAATTATATAATTAGAGATATTTCAGTAATTTTTATATTCTTAAAAGTTTTATTTTAATATTTATAGATGGGCATCAACATTACTACTATGCTAACATAACATGCATTTATTAGTATACTTTTTTTACACTACCTTTTCTTATTATGTTTATTCAAATTTATATATTCAATTGCAATTTCAAAATGGATATCAGTTTAATCTAGATCAAATATAAATATTTTAATCTTAGATAAAATGGCATATTAAAATGATATTACAAAAACAGAGCATAATTTCCTGTATCTACATCTAGGGTTCCATTTGTTGAGACCTAATGTTTTATTTGTAAAATATTTTTTTAAAAAAAAATTTCGTGTAAAATGTTTTCTTTATTTTTATTTTTTGATTTTTGACAACCGTCCGTAAAATATTTTCTAAATTAACCTTTTTTTATTTTTTTTTAGGGTCACAATAGTACACCCTACACCACAATAATATTATGGTTACATGACTTGAAAAATAAAGTCTCTAATGCTGTAAAGTAATTGTATTTAAGCAAAATAATATTGTGGGTACATGACTTCACTTCTTTAATAATTAATATATAAGAATTACTGACTAAAAAATGCAAATGAAACAACTTATTTCTTCTTCCCCTCTCACATGAAAGGTCACACATTTAATTAATAGGTGGGTGAGAGTTGTTTGTATGTTATTAACTTATTACCTATCAACAAATTATATCATCTCATCAACACTTACTAGCCACTTTATTTTCTTCTTAAAAAAATATATATATTTTAATTAGTATCAAATTAGGAAGTTTCTTGGACTAAAATATGACATTCTCGTATAAAATTTAAGTTCAATATTTTTAATTTACCCATTTTTCCTTTTTCTTTTTTCTTTTTTTTTTTTTATTTTTAAGAAGAAGGAAAGAGAACAAGAAAGTAAGGCAAAACAGGAAAATAAGAATTAATGACAGAAACAGGCCATGTGGGCCAAGTGTCCCACTCAAGGTCACTCGAACTGCTCCTCAAAGCCCATTGACTATGGGGATGGGCTGGTTTGTTTGAGGATCAGCGGGCCCACAAGAGAGTGAAATCTGGATGGGCAGCAGCCAACAAGAGCTTTATGTCTTTATACCACATGCGCACACACACACATATTCAATCAGGAGACACTTGTCTATAATATATATATATATATATATATATATATATATATATGCAACTACTCTCTAACACATGAAGCATACATGTTTGCAGACTACGTATAATTATATATGTATATATAATTAGAGATATTCCAGTCATTTTTATATTCTTAGAAATTTTATTTTAACTAGAAAAAACGCACGTGAAATTTTTTTATTATAAAAAGATTGAAAAAGTTCGCCACTTAAACCAAAAGCAAAACAATGCAATTGTTTCTCTTGAATTAACTGGTCTTATTCTTTTGTTTGGCCCCTTCCATCTAAACCCTGTACTCATCAACATGTAAGAGCATTAATTCAAATTTTATGTGATATGTAGGAGTTTATTGAAAAGAAAATCTAAATTTACCGTAATACGTAGAAGTAAATCGAAAAGAAAATAGAAGGGAAAATGTTTTTTAGAAACTCTTTAATTATTTTTATATTAATTAATAAATATATAATTAATGGAAAGAAAATCTAAATTTTATTGAAAAGAAAACAGAAGGAAACATATTTTATAGAAACTCTTTAATATAATTTATTATTTTAAATGGTAATTTATTTTATTATTTTATTATCTAATGTATAAATCAATGGTTTTAAATTCTTTAACTTATTTTGTAGTAGAAATATAAATTGATAACCAAATTAGTACTTAATTGATAAAATAGGATTATTATTTTAATTGGTAACTTATTTTATTATCTAATTTATAAATCAATGATTTTAATTTATTATGTTCAAGCAATGCAATAACCTTAATGAACTTCAGTAATAATTACTTATCTTAAAAAGTAAGAAGTAAATAATTTTTATTCTTAAAATACATTTGATTTGTGAGTGTGCTTAGTTTGTATGAAAAATATCACACCACAAGAATGTACTCTAGCTGAATCCTCATGTAGTGTTGATAATTATAATTTTAAAATAGTAGGAATGGAATCTTATAATAAAATATACTAATAATATGCTCAGAAGTGTTGGATTCATGACCACAAAATGTAATATATAAAATGAATTTTGCAGGTTTCATTACCTGCCTTGGAGGAATTGACTATTGAAGACCTAGAAAGCCTTACAGCAATATGGGTTGACCAATCACAACCACTAAAGCAAGTGAAGGAGGCTGAAGATTCCTTTCGGCGCCTAACCGACATGATTGTCCGTAAATGTGAGAAATTGGTGAATGTGATTCCCTCCTGTATGCTCCCAAGGTTGCAGAACCTAAAACAACTCCGAGTTGAGAAATGCGATTCATTGTTTTCTGAAGTTGAAGTGCATGGTAGTGTTGAAAAAGGGTCCCCAACAGTTGAACCAACAATTGATGTACTCCCTCGGCTACAAGAAATGCTTCTCACGGATCTACCTAACTTGGTGATGTATATGACGTTGAACAGAAAGGAACACTTTGCGGGCGGCATTTGTGCGTATTCAAACCTAACAGATTTGCACCTTTCTAAACGTGACAATTTGAAAAATGTATTCTCACCATCCACAGCGAGATACCTTGTGCACCTCAAAAAATTAGAAGTATGTCGGTGTAAAAAGATGGAAGAGATAGTTGCAATTGAAAGGAGAGAATTAGAAGAAGTTGGAAAAGAAGATCTAGTGCATGATGAGATCATTGTCTTCTCTCAATTAAAGCATTTGGAACTTAAAAACTTGCCAAACTTTAAAAGTTTCTGTTGCTGCACTAGTGGATCCAAAAAACGTGAAGAAGAAACGGTGGAGCTGAACATTTCTCAAGTGGAAGCCCTCTTCAACCACAAGGTATGTGTGTCCTTACTCCTATTATAAAATTCTAGTAGCTATTAAGAAATGTCTAATTTGTGATTAACAATCATTAATTAAATCTCAAATTTCACCTAGTACTTTCCCTTTTCATTAACTTCAACATCCACCTACGGAAGCACTATCATTAGAACCCTCCATATTCTTTCTGGTTCTATACAAGCAGGTGATCAAAATTTTGTTTCTTTTTTAAAATTTTTTTAAAAATAATCTTATAGGAAATGATATTTGAATACCAACTTTATAACTGAATGATTATTTTTCTCAAATACAATATTTATCCTTTTAAATATGAAATAATCTTTTTAGTTTCTCCTCTCTCTCCAATCTTTGACGGCTAATTCTTAATCCCTTTCTCAATTATTTTTCTCTTTCAATGAACCCATTTATCACTTGACTGACAAGTACATGTATTCTATATCTATAATCTTTCATAACATATATATATATATATATATTTTATTATTTTTATTATTTTTTATTTTTTTATTATATTCTTAGAAGTTTTATTTTAATATTTATAGATGCGCATTACATTACTACCATGCTTTTATTAGCATAATTTCGTAAACTAACTTTTCCTATTATGTTTATTCAAATTTATATATTCAATTGCAATTTTATTTAAAAGGGATATAAGTTTAATCTATATCAAATAAAAATATTCTAATCTCAGATAAAATAACATACTAAAATGGATATTACAAAAACAGAGCATAATTTCTTTCTAAATCTAACTCAAAAATAAGCAAAGTATTACTTGGGTTTTTTAATTCCATTGGGCTCCTTCCGCTCCTAAATGAGAAAGCAGCCCAAGAATAGCTGGATTGTGCTTCATTTGTTTGAAAAATAGTAATAATAAAATCATTTAGTTTCTTAAAATACTTTTTTCCCGGAAAGTACAATTGAAAAGCCTTACAGCGATATGGGAAGGTCAATCCCAATCACTCCTAGTGAAGGAAGCACAAGTTTCCTTTCATAGTCTAAGGTTCATGAGAGTATGGAAATGTAAGAAATTGGTAAATGTGATTGCCTCCAATGTACTCCCAAGCTTACAGAAGCTACAAAAACTTGAAGTCTGGTATTGTGATTAAGTGGAATTCCTCTTCAACCACAAGGTATGTACATAGATTCCGTCACTTCTTTAATAATTAATGTATAAGATTTACTGACTAAAATATGTAAATGAAACAACTTATTTCCTCTTCCTCATCCCACATGAAAAGTTGCCCATTTAATTAAATTTCCACTGGGACTATAATTACTTATCAAAAAATGAAAAGAAGAAGAAGAAAAACGATGTGAATGTAAAATTATCGTGCCTTTTCTATTTTTATGCATGCTTACCTATAAATACTTTTTATTCCTTCTACAATTTTACCTTTCATGCCCACGACAAAGCTTGAGGACTAATTGTAAAACTTAAATGTATTAAGTTTTTCCAAGGTTCGTTTGGTTAGATGGAAAATTATGATGAAAAGTGATAGTGAAAGAAAAAAAAAATCAAGTTTCCATCATCTATTTGGTTAGCAAGAATATTTTTGAAGAAAATTGTGAGAAAATATTATTTTACTAGTTTGGATAGCATGAACAAAACAAAAAATGATTTAACTTACCAAAACACCTTTCTAATTTCAAATGCTAATAAAATAAATAAATTTATGTAATATGAATACTCTTTATATTCAATTATTTATTTTAGTAAAGAAATAATTAAATATGAATTATCTAATTAATTATTAATTATTTATTTGTTGGTCGACGTAAACAATAATTTACTCTTCACTCGTTTTTAAATAAAATTTTATGAGCTAATATATAACAAGGTTTAGTAATTGTTTTCTTAGCAAGCCAGTCACTGGACTCACCACCACCATGTAGTATGTACACTAATCACAAAAAAATATAATTCATGTAGAGTTACCACTTGTCATTAATCTATTGAATACTTAATTTAGTAATATATATATATATATAAATTTTTTACATCACAAACGAAGTTATTCGGTGTGCCCGGCGCACCGTGCACTGAGCACATCACTGTCTGTCATTTGTGTTATACAAGCACGGTGTGCGTACAATACGCACAGATATAAACATGTCATGATTGCGCAATGCATCGAGAACATTGTATATTTTCTCATCACAAAGAAGGTTTTTGCAAAAATTTCTAAAATTAGATCTTCCATTATTTACCCAAAAAAAAAAAACTTAAAATCTTCCATTAGCTTTTATATTCTTTTCAATCTTTGTACATGCTTTTACACCAATCAGATTAGAATTGCATTTATTAGCAAAAAAAATGTTTTACACTTTTCTACTAAACTTTATTTTTATTGGTATTCAAAAAATAAAAATGTGGACTTCAAACTCTGAAAGCCAAATGGGCCCAAACCCCATCTCTAATTGTGCCTTACAAGCCCACCATTCCAACAGAAAAGGTGGGCCCAATGGTCCCACTCGAATGCCTCCATTATTTTGGTTGGAAAGGCCCAAGAAGCATTTTTAAAATTAATTTACATTTAATTAAAAATAAATTGTCATATTAAGAAGCTCTCCACACTATTTTTGTTTTATTGACTTTTTATCTACATATTTCCCTAATATGGAAATATTCCCCAAACACAAAATTGCGAAGAATTTTTTTTTTGTCTTTTTCTAGAATTAGAAAAGTCATTAAATTTTTAATAGTGAAAAAATGGATGAAGAAATACGTCTTACTATGTCATTTTCAACTGTGTAAATCTTTTAGGTTAAAATTTAGCTCCTCTTTTCTTACTTTTCTTCTTCCTACTCAAGTTAGGGTACTATTTTTCTCTCCAATTTTTATTTTCGGTAGAGTACTATTTTATTATATGTTTTATTAAAAAAAAAACTCATGCATTAAAAAAATCTATTAGTTATTTATTTTAACTCCAGGTTTAGAGTTGATGACTTGTGTTTACGGCTAAGGATTTTCTTTCTCCAAATTTGGATTTGGATGGGTTGTGCTATGCAACTTAATCTATATACATTTCCTATAAAAAAAAAAACAGAGAGCTTAAGCTAAAAAAATATAATTGTTGCAAAATTTACTAATAATAACTGAATAGGTGGATTCTTGGCTACAAATGTAACATTATAGTAATGAATTTTGCAGGTTGCATTCCCTGCCCTGGAGGAACTAGAGATTATAGAATTAGAAAGCCTTACAGCGATATGGGAAGGCCAATCCCAATCACTCCAAGTGAAGGAAGCACAAATTTCCTTTCAAAGCCTAAGGTCCATGGAAGTATGGGAATGTCATAAATTGGTGAATGTGATTGCCTCCAATGTGCTCCCAAGCTTACAAAAGCTAGAAAAACTTAAAGTCTCCGAATGTGATTCAGTGAAAGAGATATTTGCAGTTGAAAGGGGACAATTAGGAGAAAAAGATGGAGTCCATGACGAGATCATTGTCTTCCCTCAATTGAAGTATTTGGAACTTGAAGAGTTGCCCAGAGTGGAAACCCTCTTCAACCACAAGGTATGTACATAGATTCATTAACTCCCATGACGTCACTTCTTTAATAATTAATGTATAAGATTTACTGACTAAAAAATGTAAATGAAACAACTTATTTCCTCTTCCTCATCCCACATGAAAAGTTGCCCATTTAATTAAATTTCCACTGGGACTATAATAACTTATCAAAAAATGAAAAGAAGAAGAAGAAAAACGATGTGAATGAAAAATTATCGTGCCTTTTCTATTTTTATGCATGCTTACCTATAAATACTTTTTATTCATTCTACAATTTTACCTTTTATGCCCACGATGTATTAAGTTTTTCCAAGGTTCGTTTATTTAGATGAAAAATTATGATGAAAAGTGATAGTGAAAGAAAAAAAAAAATCAAGTTTCCATCATCTATTTGGTTAGCAAGAATATTTTTGAAGAAAATTGTGAGAAAATATTATTTTGCTAGTTTGGATAGTATGAAGAAAACAGAAAATGATTAAATTTACCAAAACACCTTTCTAATTTCAAATGCTAATAAAATAAATAAATTTATGTTATATGAATACTTTTTATATTCAATTATTCATTTTAGTAAAGAAATAATAAAATATGAATTATTAATTATTAATTATTTATTTGTTGGTCGACGTAAACAATAATGTACTCTTCACTCGTTTTGAATAAAATTTTATGAGCTAATATATAACAAGGTTTAGTAATTGTTTTCTTAGCAAGCCATCACTGGACTCACCACCACCATGTAGTATGTACACTAATCAGAAAAAAAATATAATTCATATAGAGTTACCGCTTGTCATTAATCTATTGAATACTTAATTTATTAATATATATATATAAAATTTTTTTGCATCACAAATGAATAGGTATTCGGTGCACCGTGCATTGAGCACATCACTGTCATTTGTGTTGTACAAGCACGGTGCGCGTACAACACGCATAGATATGAACATGTCATTATTGCGCAGTGCACCGAGAACATTGTATATTTTCTCATCACAAAGAAGGTTTTTGCAAAAATTTCTAAAATTAGATCTTCCATTATTTACCCAAAAAAAAAAATTTAAATCTTCCATTAGCTTTTATATTCTTTTCAATCTTTGTGCATGCTTTTACACCAATCAGATTAGAACTGCATTTATTAGCAAAAAAGTTTTACACTTTTCTACTAAACTTTATTTATTTATTTTTATTTTATTTTATTTTAGAAAAAAAAAAAACTTTATTTTTATTGTTATTCAAAAAATAAAAATGTGGACTTCAAACTCTGAAAGCCGAATGGGCCCAAACCCCATCTCTTATTGTGCCTTACAAGCCCACCATTCCAACAGAAAAGCTTGGCCCAATGGTCCCACTAGAATGCCGCCATTATTTTGGTTGGAATGGCCCAAGAAGCATTTTTAAAATTAATTTACATTTAATTAAAAATAAAATGTCATATTAAGAAGCGCTCCACAGTATTTTTGTTTTATTGACTTTTTATCTACATATTTCTCTAATATGGAAATATTCCCCAAACACAAAATTGCGAAGAATTTTTTTTTTTTTCTAGAATTAGAAAAGTCATTAAATTTTTAATAGTGAAAAAATGGATGAAGAAATACGTCTTACTATGTCATTTTCAACCATGTAAGTCTTTTAGGTTAAAAATTAGCTCCTCTTTTCTTACTTTTATTTTTTCTACTCAAGTTAGGATACTATTTTTCTCTCCAATTTTTATTTTTGGTAGAGTACTATTTTATTATATGTTTTATTAAAAAAAAAAAAAAAAAACTCATGCAATAAAAAAATCTCTTAGTTATTTATTTTAACTCCAGGTTTAGAGTTGATGACTTGTGTTTACGGCTAAGGATTTTCTTTCTCCAAATTTGGATTTGGATGGGTTGTGCTATGCAACTTAATCTATATACATTTCCTAAATATAAAAAAAAAAAAAAAACACACACACACACACAGAGCTTAAGCTAAAGAAATCAATTTTGTTTTTGGGAAAAAATAAATTTCCAGAAATTTAAAGAAATCATTTTCTTGAAAACCTATAAAATTACAATTACTATGAAATTTAAGTTCAATATTTTTAATTTACCCAATTTTTTTTTTTTTTTTTTTTTCCTAACAAGAAGGAAAGAGAACAAGAAAGTAAGGCAAAACAGGAAAATAAGAATCAATGGCAGAAACAGGCCATGTGGGCCAAGTGTCCCACTCAAGGTCACTCGAACTGCTTCTCAAAGCCCATTGACTATGGAGATGGGCTGGTTTGTTTGAGGACCAACGAGCCCACAAGAGAGTGAAATCTGGATGGGCAGCAGCCAACAAGAGCTTTATGTCTTTATACCACATGCGCACACACATATATTCAATCAGGAGACACTTGTCTACAATATATATATATATATATATATATATATATATATGCAACTACTCTCTAACACATGAAGCATACATGTTTGCACACTACGTATAATTATATATGTATATATAATTAGAGATATTCCAGTCATTTTTATATTCTTAGAAATTTTATTTTAACTAGAAAAAACGCACGTGAAATTTTTTTATTATAAAAAGATTGAAAAAGTTCGCCACTCAAACCAAAAGCAAAACAATGCAATTGTTTCTCTTGAATTAACTGGTCTTATTCTTTTGTTTGACCCCTTCCATCTAAACCCTGTACTCATCAACATGTAAGAGCATTAATTCAAATTTTATGTGATATGTAGGAGTTTATTGAAAAGAAAATCTAAATTTACCGTAATACGTAGAAGTAAATTGAAAAGAAAATAGAAGGGAAAATGTTTTTTAGAAAATCTTTAATTATTTTTATATTAATTAATAAATATATAATTAATGGAAAGAAAATCTAAATTTTATTGAAAAGAAAACAGAAGGAAACATGTCTTATAGAAACTCTTTAATATAATTTATTATTTTAAATGGTAATTTATTTTATTATTTTATTATCTAATTTATAAATCAATGGTTTTAAATTCTTTAACCTATTTTGTAGTAGAAATATAAATTGATAACCAAATTAGTGCTTAATTGATAAAATAGGATTATTATTTTAATTTGTAACTTATTTTATTATTTTATTATCTAATTCATAAATCAATGATTTGACGATCCAAACTGTACTCATCAAGAGTATTAATTCTTTTTTCAAATTTAATATGATACGTAAGAGTTTATTGGAAAGAAAATCTAAATTTACGGTGATACGTAAGAGTTTATTGGAAAGAAAATCTAAATTTACGGTGATACGTAACATTGGAAAGAATAGAAGGAAACATGTTTGTTTAGAAACTTTTTAATATTTTTTATATTAATTAATAAATATATAATTTACGGAAAGAGAGTCTAAATTTATGTTGATACATAGAAGTACCATTGAAAAGAAAACAGAAGGAACATGTTTTATAGAAACTCTTTAATATAATTTGTCTTTAAATAGAATTATTATTTTAGATGGTAACTTATTTTATTATTTTATTATCTAATTTATAAATAAATGATTTTAAAATTTTTAACTTATGTTGGGGTAGAAATCTAAATTGAAAACCAAATTAGTACTTAGCACAGATAAAATCCTAAATAAAATAATATTATTGTTTTAATTGGTAAGTTATTTTATTATTGAATTTATAAATCAATGATTTGAAATTCTTGACACCCTTGTACTTTTAATAATAGTATAAATATTTATAAATGCGCATCACATTACTACCATGCCACGTGCATTTATTAGCATAATTTCTTAAGCTAAATTTTCCTATTATGTTTATTCAAATTTGTATATTCAATTGCAATTTTAAAATGGATATAAGTTGAATCTAGATCAAATAAAAATATTCTAATCTCAGATAAAATAGCATATTAAAATGGATATTCCAAAAACAGAGCATAATTTCTCTCTAAATGTAATTAAGAATCAAAATTTTACTTGGGTTTTTTTAATTCCAAAGACTAGTAGGCTCCTAAATGAGAAAGCAGCCCAAGAAGAGCTGGATTGTGCTTCATTTGTTTGAATAATAATAATAAACCTATGTGATTGTGCTTCATTTGTTTGAAAAATATAAGATAACAAGACCACTTGTTTTTACTGGAAACCAGTTTTATTTTAATATAAGATAGAAGTTTTATTTTAATATTTATAGATGCGCATCACATTACTACCATGCATTTATTAGCATAATTTCATAAATTAACTTATCCTATTATGTTTATTCAAATTTATATATTCAATTGCAATTTTAAAATGGATATAAGTTTAATCTATATCAAAAAAAAATATTCTAATCTCAGATTAAAATAGCATATTAAAATGGATATTACAAAAACAGAGCATAATTTCTTTCTAAATCTAACTCAAAAATAAGAGAATAGTCATAGCAGAAGCAAAGAATTACTTGGGTTTTTTAATTCCAATAGGCTCCTTCCGCTTCTAAATGAGAAAGCAGCCCAAGAATAGCTGGATTGTGCTTCATTTGTTTGAAAAATAGTAATAAAACCATTTAGTTTCTTAAAATACTTTTTTTCCCAAGAGTACACTAGTTTTTACTGGAAAACAAATTAGGGAAAAAAGAAAAAAATAACTATAGTTGACTTCTCATGCAGCGTTCATAATTTTCATTTTAAAATAGTAGGAGCCAAATGTTGCAAAATTTACTAATAATAACTGAATAGGTGGATTCTTGGCTACAAATGTAACATTATAGTAATGAATTTTGCAGGTTGCATTCCCTGCCCTGGAGGAACTAGAGATTATAGAATTAGAAAGCCTTACAGCGATATGGGAAGGCCAATCCCAATCACTCCAAGTGAAGGAAGCACAAATTTCCTTTCAAAGCCTAAGGTCCATGGAAGTATGGGAATGTCATAAATTGGTGAATGTGATTGCCTCCAATGTGCTCCCAAGCTTACAAAAGCTAGAAAAACTTAAAGTCTCCGAATGTGATTCAGTGAAAGAGATATTTGCAGTTGAAAGGGGACAATTAGGAGAAAAAGATGGAGTCCATGACGAGATCATTGTCTTCCCTCAATTGAAGTATTTGGAACTTGAAGAGTTGCCCAGAGTGGAAACCCTCTTCAACCACAAGGTATGTACATAGATTCATTAACTCCCATGACGTCACTTCTTTAATAATTAATGTATAAGATTTACTGACTAAAAAATGTAAATGAAACAACTTATTTCCTCTTCCTCATCCCACATGAAAAGTTGCCCATTTAATTAAATTTCCACTGGGACTATAATAACTTATCAAAAAATGAAAAGAAGAAGAAGAAAAATGACGTGAATGAAAAATTATCGTGCCTTTTCTATTTTTATGCATGCTTACCTATAAATACTTTTTATTCATTCTACAATTTTACCTTTTATGCCCACGATGTATTAAGTTTTTCCAAGGTTCGTTTGTTTAGATGAAAAATTATGATGAAAAGTGATAGTGAAAGAAAAAAAAAATCAGTTTCCATCATCTATTTGGTTAGCAAGAATATTTTTGAAGAAAATTGTGAGAAAATATTATTTTGCTAGTTTGGATAGTATGAAGAAAACAGAAAATGATTAAATTTACCAAAACACCTTTCTAATTTCAAATGCTAATAAAATAAATAAATTTATGTTATATGAATACTTTTTATATTCAATTATTCATTTTAGTAAAGAAATAATAAAATATGAATTATTAATTATTAATTTTTTATTTGTTGGTCGACGTAAACAATAATGTACTCTTCACTCGTTTTGAATAAAATTTTATGAGCTAATATATAACAAGGTTTAGTAATTGTTTTCTTAGCAAGCTGTCACTGGACTCACCACCACCTTGTAGTATGTACACTAATCAGAAAAAAAAATATAATTCATATAGAGTTACCGCTTGTCATTAATCTATTGAATACTTAATTTATTAATATAGATATATATAAATTTTTTGCATCACAAATGAATAGGTATTCGGTGCACCGTGCACTGAGCACATCACTGTCATTTGTGTTGTACAAGCACGGTGCGCGTACAACACGCACAGATATGAACATGTCATTATTGCGCAGTGCACCGAGAACATTGTATATTTTCTCATCACAAAGAAAGTTTTTGCAAAAATTTCTAACATTATATCTTCCATTATTTACCCAAAAAAAAAAAAAATTAATCTTCCATTAGCTTTTATATTCTTTTCAATCTTTGTACATGCTTTTACACCAATCAGATTAGAACTGCATTTATTAGCAAAAAGGTTTTACACTTTTCTACTAAACTTTATTTATTTGTTTTTATTTTATTTTTTTTTAGGAAAAAAAAAACTTTATTTTTATTGCTATTCAAAAAATAGAAATGTGGACTTCAAACTCTGAAAGCCGAATGGGCCCAAACCCCATCTCTTATTGTGCCTTACAAGCCCACCATTCCAACAGAAAAGCTTGGCCCAATGGACCCACTAGAATGCCGCCATTATTTTGGTTGGAATGGCCCAAGAAGCATTTTTAAAATTAATTTACATTTAATTAAAAATAAAATGTCATATTAAGAAGCGCTCCACACTATTTTTGTTTTATTGACTCTTTATCTACATATTTCTCTAATATGGAAATATTCCCCAAACACAAAATTGTGAAGAAATTTTATTTTTTTTTTTTTTGGTCTTTTTCTAGAATTAGAAAAGTCAGTAAATTTTTAATAGTGAAAAAATGGATGAAGAAATACGTCTTACTATGTCGTTTTCAACCGTGCAAGTCTTTTAGGTTAAAATTTAACTCCTCTTTTCTTACTTTTCTTTTTCCTACTCAAGTTAGGATACTATTTTTCTCTCCAATTTTTATTTTTGGTAGAGTACTATTTTATTATATGTTTTATTAAAAAAAAAAAAAAACTCATGCAATAAAAAAATCTATTAGTTATTTATTTTAACTCCAGGTTTAGAGTTGATGACTTGTGTTTACGGCTAAGGATTTTCTTTCTCCAAATTTGGATTTGGATGGGTTGTGCTATGCAACTTAATCTATATACCTTTTCTATATAAAAAATAAAAAAAAAACACACACACACACACACACAGAGCTTAAGCTAAAGAAATCAATTTTGTTTTTGGGAAAAAATAAATTTCCAGAAATTTAAAGAAATCATTTTCTTGAAAACCTATAAAATTACAATTACTATGAAATTTTTATTTATTTTTGGATGTTACCAAACACACTCAAAAACCTTGGAGAATGATGTTAACCAACACCCATGTATTCCAGTGCCAAATTTCACTAATTGAACACCAAGTGATATTATAAATGTGTTACATTCCGCTGTATAACCTAATGAGCCACAATTAGTTGACATATTCACAAATTGAAAGGATGCTTGTTATTGCAAATTGAATACTTAATTGTGGCTTATAAATGCATATGCTTGTTAACAAACAAACAAAAAAAAAAAATTGCATGAGGTTCAAAACAGTACATTGGTTGAAAATATTGGGAAAGACACACTTAATGACATTGTTTAACTCATATTTTAATATCAAAGTTATAGCTTAGTGATACTTTCTTGCCTCCAAAAATTTAGGTAGAAGGTTCAAGTCCCCATAAAGACAAGTGGGTATACGTTCTCTGGGCTCTCTAAAATGATAGGAGCAGAAAATTGTGATAGAGATATAATCTTGTTGCAAAATTTTCTAATGCTGGCCCTCATTTCAAAGATGAGTTTCTTGAATTTTTGAAACTACAAAATATAATATGTTCTAATTTGTAGGTTGCATTCCCTGCTTTGGAAGAATTGGGCATTATAGAATTGAAAAGCCTTACATCACTATGGAATGACCAATCACATTCACTCCTAGTGAATGAAGGAGGAGATTCCTTCGGGGTCTTAAAGTGCATAGAGGTCAAAAGATGTAACAAACTGGTGAATGTGATTCCCTCCGATGTGCTCCCAAGGTTACAAAATCTTGAAAAACTCTTAGTTGATGGATGTGATTCAGTGATATCGGAAGCTAAAGTGCTCACTGTTGGAAAAGGGTCTCCAGCAGCTGGACCAACAATTGTACTCCCTCAACTAAAAGTAATGTGTCTAATGAATCCACCTTACTCGATGATGTATATGCTACAGGATTTGAACAGAAAGGAATACTCTGGTAGACATTTTGCCTATCCAAACCTAAAAGAACTACGTTTTTCTAAATGTCACAGTTTGAGAAATGTATTCTCACCGTTCACAACAAAATATCTTGTGCACCTCGAAAAATTAGAAGTGACTGATTGTGAGAAGATGGAAGAGATAGTTGTAGTTGAAAGGGGACAATTATATAGAGAAGAAGATGTAGTGTATGATGAGATCATCGTCTTTCCTCAATTAAAGCACTTGACCCTTCAACAGTTGCCAAACCTCAACAGTTTTTGCAGCGTTTGTGAATTCGAGAAAGAAGAAGAAATTGCGGAGCAGAATATTGGCAGAGTGGAAGCCCTCTTTAATTACAAGGTACGTGTGTTATAACTCCTAAATAATTGAAATTAACAGCATAGTAGCTATTAACCGGGAATATTTGTCTATCCAAATTGGGCTTATCAGTTCTCACAACCCTTTTATATTATGAATTGACATAATTGTTTTTTTCATTAATCCAACACCCCCAATTGTGGCTGGCAAGTAGTGGTCCTTTTAGTCTGTTCATTTTCTTTTTACAACTAGTTAAGAGGAATGAGAGGTGTCCCATTTGTGATTGACAAATCCCAAATTTAACACAATATTTACTAACTAGTTCAATGAAGTTGCAAGGAATGAAGATTCACCTACATATTATGTTACATTGTTAGAACCCCAATCCTCCAGTACACGTCCAAAGGTCAACTAATGTCATTTGAGTATCTACTAGGCACTTTTTTTTTTTTTTTTTTTTAACCTTAAAAAGAAATTTCTCTTTTATTTTCAATTACTTTCTGAATAAAATCTGATTCACTGTACTTTGTTGGAGCCTGCTATCCAATCAGAAAACAATATTACCTTTTGTAAATTAACAATTTTTAGATCACAATATGATTTGAAAGGTGAATTTATTATTCTCCTGATGAACATTTGTGTACAACTTTAATTCAATTCAATTTTTTTTTTCTCTGATGGCTAGATTAGGCTTCCATGAGGTGCGGTCATCTGTTATAGAACCCTAAGGCAGAACCTTTTTTTCTTTCTTCATGATTTTGCAACTGGTGAAAGACGTTGGTTTAGTTATACGTGATTTTTTTGTTTCTAAAATATTTATTTCCCTATTTTTTAATTCAATTTCCTTATTATGGATATTTATATAATTTTATTTGAATATTCAATGGGTTAATTCTCTGTCAGTCAAATAGGGTAAGTTACAACAACTAATAAACAAGATATTCGAGCACATCACTGTCGTTCATCCGGACATGGACGGTCATGATTGCCCTATGTACCGAGTACATTGTATATTTTCTCATAACAAAAAAATAAAAATAAAATTGCGAAAGTTTTTCCAACAGGCTTGCTGATTCTGCTATAACCTTAATTATATATTAACATATCATATTAATATGTTATTATTATTTTTTTTCAAAAAGATTACAAATGTCATTCTATTAAACACAAACATATCAATATGTCAACAGACAAACCACACCGCATTTCATGCAACCACCCGTATACACAGCATGTTTCAAACTTTCATGCTAACAGGTGTTTTATATATTCAATTAGAGATCTTCCAGCTTCTATATTCTTTTTAATCTTTGTATTTGATTTTATATCTATTAGGACCATCTTAACATTCATTTATTAGCAAAATTTGTACACTTTTCTACTTATCTTTAGTCAAACAATAAAGATTTGGACTTAAAACTCTTAAAGCCAAATGGCCCAAATCCCATCTCTAATTCGGCTTTCAAAGAACATCTCAAGATCACAAATCTTAGTCTCTTTTCAAATTTCTATATATAATTGCAATATTAACTGAATGGGAAATTCTGCTTTAGAAGCCCACCATTCCGATAGAAATGGTTGGCCCAATGGTCCCACTCGAATGCCATCCCATTATTTTGTTGGAATCGTTGGCCTAAGGAAACATTTTTAAAATTAATTTACATTGAAGCTCTATTTGTTTGAGTGTAAAATATTTTTTTATTTTTTGGTATTTAATTGTCATAAAAGTATTTTTTTTTATTTGTAAAGAAAAAAAATATATTAAAATCTTACAAATATAACTTACCTTTTAATTTTTAACAAGTTAATTTTACACTTGACACGTCTAGTCCGATGGACTCAACCTCAGCCTCGACTTAAACTTCTGCCAAATGAGTAAAAATAAAAAAATATTTTATCAGAAAAGGAAAAATATTTTACCAGCCTTAATGTAAAATAAAATGTCATATTAAGAAGCAGTTGCTCCACACGAATTTTGTTTTATTGATTTTTTTTTTTGGGTAAATAAATGTTGTTCTATAATATGTGTGAGGGTATTTCTTATCAAGATATAAATAAAAATAAATAAATAAATCTCCTTTCATAAAATAAATATTTATCTGACAACAAGTATAAATGTTTTGATAATATAGATAAATTTTAAAGTTTGTGTACTTATTTTTTTGGTTTAATGAAATTTTAATTTAATAAGTTCAAGCAATGCAATAATCTTAATGAACCTCAGTAGGTAATAATTACTTTTAATAAAAAAGTAAGAATTAAATGATTTTTATTCTTAAAATATATTTGATTTGTGAATGTAGTTAGTTTGTTTGAAAAATATCACACCATAAGAATTTACTCTAGCTGAATCCTCATGCAGTGTTGATATTATCATTTTAAAATGGTAGGAATGGAATCTTATAATAAAATATACTAATAATATGCCCAGATGTGTTGGATTCTTGACCACAAAATGTAATATATAAAATGAAATTTGCAGGTTTCATTACCCGGGAGAAACTTACTATAGAAAACCTACAAAGCCTTACAGTAATATGGGTTGATCATTCGCAACCTCTAGCTAGAGCAAGTGATGTCATTCACTTTGTTTTTGCCTTAAAAAGAATTTTCTCATTATTTTTCAATTACTTTCTAAATAAAATCTAATTCACTGTGCTTTCGGTGGGAGCCTGCTATCCAATCATAAAAGAAAACAATATTACCTTTTGCATACCTCAATTAACAATTTTTAGATCACACTATGATTTGAATGGTGAATTTATTATTCTCTTGATATTTGAATACTAACTTTCTAACTAAATGATTATTTTTCTCAAATACAATATTTATCCTTTTAAATATGAAATAATCTTTTTAGTTTCTCCTCTCTCTCCAATCTTTGACCGGGCTAATTCTTAATCCCTTTCTAAATTTTTTTTCTTTCAATGAACCCATTTATCACTTGACTGACAAGTACATGTATTATATACCTACAATCTATAATCTTTCATTACATATTATCCTCCTCTTTTTTTCTTTTCTTTTTTTTTAATTTATTATTATTATTTGTTTACCAAGGCAAGAAGATTTCACTGCATATATAGAATTCAAACTCGCTGTAAAAGTATTAAATATTAATAATATATATTTTTTGGCACCAAAATATTAAAATTTAACTACTATAGAAATAATTAAAAATATATATATTAAGAAAACTCAACTTTTTTCACCGACTTTCCCAAAATTAGAAAATGGACACTTATTGAGGGATGGATGGAGTAACTCTAATTAATTATTACATATTTGAAAAACAGAAATCCAATTGATAATCTTAAAATTCATTTGATTGTTTAATATTATTCTCAATTAGTCCTGCAATTTTTTGACATCAAAAGCATCATCATTGATTTCTAATGGAGACTGATATAGCATTACTCATTACTGCTTAGTTGAATCTCACCAAACATCACCTTGAGCTTTCAAAACTGACATAAATTTTATTTAAGCCTATATCTCTTAATTTCAAATTCACTCATTTATCTAAATTGACTATTACATTCTAATAAGTCTAATTTAGTGGGGTATTTGAGTTTGACCTTGTGCAATTTTTCCCGCATTAATTAAAATGAAATGGGATGTAATGAATTTTGCAGGTTAGTTTCCCAGCTTTGGAGAAATTGAAAATTAGAAAATTGCAAAGTCTGGCAGTGATATGGGACAACCAATTATTCCTAGATTTGAGAGCACAAGATTCCTTTCGGCAGCTAAGGGTTGTTATTGTTCAAGGATGTGAGAAACTAGTGAATGTAATTCCACCCAATGCATTCGCAGAGGGGCTTATGGTGTTTCACAGCCTAAAATATTTGATACTTAGTAAATGCAACAGCCTGAGGTATGTATTCTCATTCTCAATAGCAAGAGGTCTCACACAACTCAGAACGCTATGGGTTGTAGGATGTAGTGTGATGGAAGAAATAGTTAGAAGTGAAGGAGAAGGAGAAAAAGATGACACGGAGGAAATTGTGTTCTCTCAGCTAAAGTATCTGTGTTTGAAAGGTCTACCAAACCTTACATGTTTTTGTGGAACAAATAATGCTTTTAAATTCCCATCCTTGGAGCTGGTTTATCTGGGGAAATGTCCCCAATTGCAGACATTCACAACCGGATGCTTAAGCACACCTAATAAATTAACAATTGATTATGAAGTCGGCGAGTGCAATGATGTTATCGACCTTAATGACTATGTGCAGCAGTTTGTTCGGAGAGAAAAGGTAACTGTAAAATGTCATGAATTTTTTAGTTAAAGATGATTTACGCATTATTTTTGCTGCATAGTAGTGGTAAACAATCTGCACTAGTTTCATTTAACTTTTGTCCAGGAATCACCACAACAAAAGACACTGCCAATGCTTTTCATATAACCCCCTTCTACTTCTGTTTGATTCAGGGACTAGCGGTGGATGAAAGTCCTGGTGATGATGAAGATGATGACGACGATGATGGAACGGATGATGACAAAGGCGAAGACGAAGGCGAAGACGAAGACGAAGATGAAGATCTTGATTTCGGTGATGATGATTATGATTTGGATGGTTTCATGTTCAGGATGATGTATGGGCGGCGACGACGACGACAACGAAACAAATCCTGTTGAAGCAAAAGAGGATACTTCCTGCTAAAAGCAGTAAAGAAGGTAACGCTTGTGACGTGCTTTTATAATGCAAGGTGCGTCTGATTGGAAAAAGTACATGTGGGAATCTCTTGTGACGTGCTTTTAGAATTTCAAATTGATTTTTTAGGATGTGAATTCATCTAAATTCTTTCAATAATGATTAGAGACAAGGACTCTGGTTACTTTTAAAAGCAACAAGGACTCTTTTGCAGGTATTTATCTCAATCACTAATTCCACGTCCCGTGAGTTATGTAGTCGGTAAAATAAAGTCTTATATCATTTTCCTTAAAATATATAATTCCACTCTCATTTAAAAGGAAATGACATTTATAACCCTAATTTCACAAGTCAAGAATTGTTTTTTAAAATTACACAACTACCCTTCTAAATATATGTTAATTACAGTTGAAGTTTTGAGCAAGTCAGGAAATCATCTATTACCAATAAAACAAATATAATGAACCATTATTTTATATTCTCTAGCGCATGGAAAATCTGCTCATCAATTCACATCCAGTTAATTCCAGTTAAAAAGTGAACCTTCAATTTTTTTTATCATTACTCTTTCATTTTTTGCAAATGGGAAATGGACTAATGCTTTGCTCCCTCACAAGTATACTTTGCAGTTATATATATTAATTGGGAGTTGCTGCTGCCTTTATGGTATTACTACTTCATTAGTACTCATAGCGTCCATTTTCTGTTTCTGGCTAAACAACCTCTATTCTTTGCAGGTGGGACTAAACTATTATATTCATCTCTGAAATATGAAGATGGTGATCCGATCCGATGACCGGGTTGTCTCCTACAATTGCCAAGAACATTTGTGGGGTTACAGAATTTGAACATATATATATGACATTTCATTAATTACTTCCCTTCGTATATAGTTAATTGTGCTAAATTGTATTGACTTCAATTTGCTTACCCTGTTCCTTTTCTGCTTAAGTGTTGCTAGAAACCTATTTAGCTAGCTATGGTTGAACTATTATATGCATGTATTCAGTTTTATTGTTTAATACATTGGATTTTCACTCCTGAACTATTTTAATATATTTATTTCATTTAGGATTTTATATAAGATTTCTTTTTTTTTTTTTTTTTACACATTTTAGCAGCAGGAAAAAAACACCTAAATGATCTTCTATGCATCATATGTTAGTTAGTAGTGAAATACTATGTATGTCAGGGTGGAATTCAGATTCTTTGATAATACACACTTCAAAATGTTGTTGTTGTTGTACCATTTTTATAAATAGCGTGATCAAGGCCTGCGGTTTAGCATTATCTCGTCTAAAGATGAAAGGTATAGGATTCAAGTCTCTCCCATAAACATTGCGGGAGTCTTGTTAGGGAAAAATAAAAAATAAAAATAAGATGGAGGTGATAAAATATTACCAGTACCCTCATAGGTAAGACCACCCTTGATTAATGACTTGAAGTAATGTGGATTAGCCTTGAACATTTGGCATTTATGCTTCTTATTCAAAGATCTTTGTTATTTCCATAATATAATCAATGTTAATGGTCACATTCAAAGAATCTTAGGTTTCTTCAGCTAAATAGCTATTAAAGACAACAATGTATGATACTAGCTAGAATCCATGAAAATCTTTTATTTAACCCCTTCTTCAAGGCTATCAAACACCACCATTAACAATGCAAATAAGGCTAGAAGCCAAAACACAGAACATTGGAAATTCCCACCACACTTGCTGATAAATTACAAGTTTAATGCACACTAGTCATTTGAAACCCTCTTTGGATCACACACGCCCTTTTGAGGACAACAATTTCCTGAGAAGCTCCAATGGGACTAGAAATTGAAGAGCAATTTGTGGATTCACTGTCCTCAGTGAACCACAAATTATGCATCAAAAATTTCATATGGAGCAAGGAAGAATGGCCTGGAATAAGTCACAACGAATTCGCGGATGGAGACAATGACATCCCGGTTATAAGTCTACGAGGAATTTTGGACGAAAAGGAAGGACAAGAGTATGCCGAGGCGTGCCAAGCTATGGTTGCAGCTACCCAAAAATGGGGATTCTTTAAGCTGGTGGATCATGGCGTTGCTTCGGAAATAGTTGAGAAAGCAAAAACGCGGTTACAAAAGCTTTTCGACCTTCCCATGGAGCAGAAGCTGAAAGGAGGTAGATCAGCAACCTTACCGTTGGGGTACTGTGCCACTAATCCTGATTATGGACACAACTTGCCTTGGGCAGAAATATTACAACTACTTCAATCACCACAACAGATTGTGGCTTTTGCAAGAATGGTTTTTGGTGAACAACATCAACCATTTAGGTAAAATATTCATATTCCAAATTACAAAATTAAACATTATGGCATTTGTATGTTGATTTTTATAATCTTCATGTCTCAGTGAAGCCTTGATCGAGTACATGGATGCATTGGACAAGCTAGGAATGACCATTTTCGAGATGCTAGCTCATGGACTAGGCCTTGTTGATGACTTCTTTACCAAGAATTTCGACGAGAAAGAGGCAACTATGATCCGAGTCAATAGTTACCCTCCTTGTCCACTCCCGGAGAAGTGTCTCGGAGTAGGGAGCCACTCTGACCCGCACACACTTACAATATTGCTACAGGACGACGTTGGTGGTCTTCAGGTCCTTAGGAGTGACAACCAATGGGTCGGAATATCTCCTGTTCCCAACTCATTTATCATCAACATTGGTGACACCCTTGAAGTAATTTCTCTCACACAATGTCACAAACAACAGATTTGGTGATTTTGATGAAATTGGTTCACTAATAATATTTTTCAAAAATGTGACATTGACATTTTTTAAAAAAAAATATGATCATTGATTATAGTTTATATATTAAATTTACTTTTGTAGGCATGGACAAATGGGAGGCTGAGGAGTGTTGTGCACAGAGCAGTGGTCAATAAAGAGAGGAATAGGATGTCACTTGCATATTTTCTTAGCCCTACAAGCAATGCCCTAATAGATTGCCCTCCACAGCTTATGGATGAAGAGACTTACCCAAGAAAGTATGTGCCCTTTACCTGGGCAGACTTCAGGAAGGAGCTGTTGATCCAAAAGAGGGTTGTGGGCAAAACTGCCCTTAACAGATACCTCATTTCTAAATGAAACATGGACAAATATGTCTTTGTTTCATGGCCTAAACCCTCAGTGTTCCACACACACACGTCTGGTGTGGATTGTTAAAGTGAAAAATGAGACCTGTGTAGTGAGCTTTGATGTTTTTCTTTATGTTTGTTGGTTTATGAAATAAATGGTAACTTTGATGATGTGATTCACTTTTCAGCTTTTACACATACACATGATATTATGATCCCATTGATGCAGAGTGTTAGGAGATCAAATATTTGTCATTATTTACAGGAATTAACTCTACTCATACTTAAACTCATCTCATAATGGTAAATTAAAACATTAAACATAATAAATTTGAATTAATAAATCAAAGGTGAAAATGAGATTGACAAATTTGGTGAGGGGGCTTTTGAAAACCAAGAGGTTTGGAGAAATGAAGCTTATTTTAACAAGTTCATGGGCTTTTTTTTTTAGTATGATGGAATAAGGGTTGAAATGTTTTATGTGAGAATATTTTGGGGTTCTAGAAAAAGGGACGAAATCAAATAATCAAAATAATGTTTTTAGAAGTTTTGGGTATTTTGGAGGAAAAAAATGAAAAAATAAGGTCTAAAATGACATTTTAAATAATTTTTAGCATTTGTAGAATAAATAGAACATCTTGAGATTTATGTTTTGTAAAAACAATGATTTTTTAAAATGGATTTGAAATTAAGTTGACAAGAGAGGGTTTGAAACAACTTGGACAAAATTAAGTTTAAATTGACAATTTGATGAATTTGAAAATTTATTTTAAAAAGTTCTAAAGTGGAATTTAACATCCAAAACCATCATTTGCATAAAGATTTGAGGAAGGGGAGAATCGAGAGTAATGAAAAAACCGTATATAAAAGTAACAAATATGAAATAGGTGTTAACAACAGTTATTATATATATATATACATACATACATATATGTGTGTATGTATACATACGCTTGATTTAAATGGACATCCTTAACTTTTTTATGGCATAACTTAAATTTTGCAAACAAGGACAAGTGACATCATTCTGAATTTACCATTTAGCATGAAAAGGAATTTTCTTCTATGGTTCACTGTTTTCTCGCCTGCATTATTAAAAATACCCAAAAACTTTAATTGGTTCTTACACACACATGCTTCTTCACTAAAACTAGAACTCCTGATTTTCTTTTGGAAAATAAGAATTTGATACCGCTAGGCCACTGACCTATTAGTAAGAAAATGAAATTTTAATTAGCTAACTATCATGCTTTTGTCTTTATATCGTTGAAGGTAGATTAGTGATTAATAGTAATTCAAACTATTCTCAATAGACATGCCAACCGACGGTAAACAATAAACTAATGATTCAATGTAATTATATATAAAATTTGTTGATTTTAAATAAAATTGACATCCCTTTTCCAATCAATTATTATTTTCTTTTTCCTCACACTCGATCCTTTTTCAAGAGTTAAATAAATAAATAAATCTCTACCCAACCTGAAATAAATAATAGAAGATAATGTCAAAAGAATTGTTTATGGAAAATTAAAATAATGTCAAAGACATTTCGTCATGGATGACTTACACACACATAAACTTTTTGTTTTACTTTTAAAAAAATTAATTGCACTCATAACGATTTACGTTTTTGGAATACTAAGAATATGGTGCATCAGCACAATGGTTAGTTATTATTCTCTATTATCAAAAAAAAAAGTTGTGAATATTATAATTATCAAATTGGCATTAGATACGAATACTGCTTTCAAAACCATACATTGCTAGGGAACCGATTCTTAATGTTTTATTAATTATAATCTATTCATTCATTCATAACTCAGCTTCATTGTCAAACTTAAAATTGGTTGAATTTCGAGGTAACTTGCATTCACATCATAAATAATCCATTCAAGATCTCTCTCTCTTGAAATATAATTATATATATACACACACAAACATGTATAAATATTTAATAGTATATATGTAAATGCATATAATGTCTTTTTTTCGATTCTTATTTATGATTAACGTTTTACTCAGGCTTCTGCTCCCGATCTTACCTTATGTGATTTAGATTTTGTTATTTTCGTACTGTTGATCCGCTAATCCTCTTTGTGTGACTAAGGTCCGACATCCTTTTTTTTTTTTTTTTTTTCAAAACCCTTATATATTTTTATTTTTTTCTTTGGGTAAGGGGTTAAAGGTAAGTTTGTAAAAGAAAATTACATGCATTTGATTCCGAAAGTCTATTCAATCTTTTAGCCCTATTTTTTAAATCCATAGTATGGAATTTTGCTTTTTTAAAAGTGTCATGATCAATTTTTGCTAGGTGTAAATAATTCTTTTGAATGATATATATGAGTACCAAATAAAAAAAAAAATTTAAATTTAAAAAAAAAAAAAAATAGAAATTTGCTTTTTTTGATTTGTGGGTTCATATGTGCAGCTTTGGAATTTGTTGAGGCAAACTTGGAATAAAATTTGCAAAAGAACAAATTCAACCTTCAATTCGAACTTCGACGTCTAACCACAAATTCAATCTAATTAAAGGACGATTTTAATTTCAAATTTTTTAGTTCCTGCAATTGAAGATCCCAAAAAAAAAAAAAAAAAAAAAAAAATTTACAAATTTAAAACAAGATCGAATTTGGAAACATTCAAATTTGGTCCTCAACCTAAAACAATAAAATTACAAATACAAAGTGGAATTAACTTATCATGTGGTAGTGCCAATCATGGGACTGGACCTCTCCAGTACATGAGATGATTTTAATTCTATACTATTCTTAGGAAAATATTTTTAACTTCCAAAAGTACTATTTACTTTTCTAAAATACTGTGTAATTTGGTTGTACTTTTCTAGTCTGAATTATTTCAATAAATATAAAGTTTTCTTTTTTTAAAAAAAAAAAACACTATAAAGTTTTCCTTTTATTAATAACAAAAAAAGTAGTTTATATAATGTTTCTCATAACTTCTAAATTGCAAAAAAAATTAAAATCTCAGATAATTCCAAAAATCCCCATGTTCATCCATACTCAGCAAAGGAATAAGTATTGACAGAGGTAATTTTGTCAAAAGTTAAAAACTTTTTAATGAAATTATGGGAGTACTTTTACTATATTTTTCTAAATGTTTTGTAATTTTTTTCATTATACAAAGTTTCTATGCATAATTTTTTTTTTTTTTAGTCTAATAATGGTTAGTAGTTATTTGAGAGTGGAGGGAATTGAACATAAAATGAATAAGGTGGGGACACTTTAGACCTGATCCTTTTTACCACTCAGACAATACCACCACTCTTTTTACATAAATCTAAATGTGTGAGAGCTTTGTTTAAACAATTACTTCCATAAATACTTGGATACCTCTCAAATTCTATCAGATGACAAAAAGAGTCAAGACATTATATAGAAATTTAATTATAGTCATAAGGTCCAAAATAAAAGAAATTATGTATGAAAATTACAAATTTGAGTGGTCCTTGTAATTGTCTGTTTATCATGTGACATTGACTTGTGAATGGAACATTTTTCCCGAACTTGTCACATGAGAATGCTTGGTGGTGTAGGTTATGATTACATGATATGGATGCCATTGTAGTTGAGTGTGGTGGTGTGTGTAAACAAAGTGGTAGAAGTGATAACTTTGGAAGTGACAATGCCGATGAAAAAAACTAATTTAACACAACGATAAGATTAAATTTTTGTAGAAGTATTCTCTTTTTAAAATTACATGTACTTGATCTTATTCAAAAATTATAATAACGGGAGTATTGTGCACTGTACATAAGCAAGACTTTTTAACATTGCACGTGGCGATGAGTCTAATGACAATGGTGGAGTTGAGATTTACAGTGACTGATATATGATGGAAAACATTATCCCTGTACCATCACAACATAGTGATGTATAGTAATAAGCACATATATTGTGATGGTGGATGTGGAAAACTATGGCCACTATGTGATTAATGTGGTGACAAGTATGTGTGGATGTTGCAATGGACATTGTGAAATAAAGTGGCTTCACACTTTCACTAAAATTTTGGGATCCAATAACAAGGTTTTACAATAATTCTTCCAAGTACCAATAATTTCATAAATCAGAAAGGTTATAAGAGGGGAAAATATCTTGATAATTATGTTCTCTCTTGTATATAATGGTCATGTGGCAATACAGATGGAAGACACATATATATATCATATCACATAGTGTGTATAAATGTGAAATTTTTAGCTTTTTGTAATTATTATGACATAAATATGGAGACTAGTCATTGAGAAATGGTCCTTTAAGTCGTCTACTTTAAATAAAAATATCTATTTAGACTTTCCTATATGTTAATAATTTTATTATCTTAATTCGAAGTTTCTTTTTTCTTTTTCTTTTTTTGGAATGTAGAAGTTTCTTTGAAGCTCCCTTAACTAGTTTCACAGAAAAAAAAATGAAAATAACAACAAAAAGTAACTTAGCAATTGGTCAAAAAAAAGGAAATTAGCACTTAAACTAAATATTTTGGCGCTTGTCCAAAGTGGAAAATTTGAAAAGCAAACTTGAGCAGGTAAGAAAAAATAGTTGCATGCTTGAAGATTCATCAAACAAAATTTGTTATATATATATAATTGAAAAAAAAAATGTGAGCTTGTAAAGATGATTGAAAAAAAAAATGTGAGCCTGTAAAGATGAAAAGATAAATAAGTATTGAGTAATGATAATGAGTCTCGATAAATTTGACTAATTTTTCGAGAATAAGAAGTGATGTTGTCAAGTCGTTACAGATATTAAAGAAATGATTATATTAGTCTTCTTCATTCATATAAAATAGTTAGAGTTGTTCGACTTTCGAACTCTAAATTTATATATATATATATATATATATATATATATATATATATATAATTTCTATTTATTTAACTACGTATCAAATACCTATCAAATAATAATAAAAATATTAAGTTAATTAATAAATAAAATGAGCTAAACACTTTCGGGGTATACCTCCATGAACTACATATTTATTGGATCTATCTAGATAGTTTGTGCCTAGCCCACCAGGGACAAACTAACATCACATTGGCTTTGTGCAACACAATCTTTGTTTATATGGTTAGAACAAAAAATAACAAGCTCAGCTACTATAATTTAAATTCATCAGTCAGCATTTAATTGTTTTTAAGTAATAAAAAGTTATATCTATTGCTCAAAATAACGAGTTATGACTAATGACTTCAAAAAAGTCAACTCTATAGGTTTATCATTAATATTTTCACCAAAAACAGTGTGGGTCATTCGTTACACGAGGAGCTGTTCAATGCTGACACACTGCAAATTAACAATGCTTGTTGGGAGACAACATTTCTATCTTCTTTTATCTTTTACGTTACATTGCTTTATATATATACATATATATGTATATATATAATATATGTATTCTTTTTCCCTCTCGAAATGGCAAGTCGGTGGCCTCTTTCTTGGAAACATTAATGGATCTCCTAGCTAGACCTTCTCACATTTCATCCACCATTGACTCCAACCCATATGTACCGAAAAGCTTCAGCAAACAATACCAATAGTTGTCTCACATTTCGTGTCCTATCCGTGTGATTGTGTTCACTAAAAGTCTAAAAAAAAGTCTTTTCTAATAAACCGTAAATATCTGTTCTATTTTGATATATTTTTTAAATTCATGTTCATATTAGTGATGATAAAAATTTTACATTAGGTGTCAACCTACTTATACTTGTTTTGCAGAAAGAAAAAAAAAAAAAGACTAGCATAAAAAAATAAGTCACCAAACATGACATAAGTGGAAATCTTTAGATGTTCTACATCAATAACTATTTTTTGTTCTCTATTATAACTATAAAAACAATGTGAAATGTGACAATGTCCCAAATTTATTAAACTAAATGGAGCATGTATGGCATGGAGTAGACAAATAATAAAATTTAACCTTGTGATTGTGTTCACTCAAACTTAATTTTGACACTATATTTTCTAACCATGTGATTTTGTTCACTCAAACTTCAAAAATTCTTTTTCTAATTGCATATTTTAGGTTAGGTATAAAGCCACTTATATTTGTTATTGTCTGACTTGAAAATAATTGTATAAAGATATATCACTAAACACGGAACAAACAGAATCGTTAGATATTTCTTTATCACAACTAAAAATGCAAAGTGCAGTGTGACAATGTCCCAATACATTAAACAAAAAGGGAGCACATATGCATGTCGAGTAGACAAATAATAAATTTTAACTCTACTTTAAACTCTAAAAGATTTTTAATTATCTAATTGCATGTTTAGAGTTGCCTTATATGGAGTACCTTATTTACCAAAACTTGAAAAGAATTGTATGAGGACAAAATCACTAAACATAGAAACAAACGAAATCATTAGATGTTATGCATCAACAACCATTTTTGTTTCTTTATTACGACTAAAAAAGTAATGTGCAGCATGACAATATCACGATTTATTAAACTAAATAGAGTATGTATGCATCGAGTAGACAAATTATATATTTTTAACACAATTTTTTTTTTTTTTTTTTTTTTTATTTTGTGTGGCTCAATTAATCCAACTATTCATAAGGCTCATAATTTCTTCAGAAGTCAATTAAATTAATTATGATTTGGAAGAAGATTAATTAAGCACATTTTACTAATTGGATGTGTATGGGATAATGGATTCGGCATGTGCCCACTACTGAATTGCTCCACTAGATCACTCCTATTTTTCATTTCAAACTGCAATAAAATGAAACCTGATTGGCTCTGATGTATCAAATAACCAAAAAGAACAATTAATTATAAATAAAGCAAAAAAAAGCAATCTTTATCATGTTCGTGGTATATGGATAGGGCAAATCTCACATATATATATATATATACACACACACACACTTGCAACACGATTTTTTCATGTGGCTTGTGTGTGATGGAAACAAATTTTTAAATTAGTAATTTTTTTGTTTGCACTTTATATGGATCCAATCATGTTAAAAAAATGGACCACTTTAATTTGTACTTTGTAATTGTGACAAATGAAGAAAGCATAAGGCAAGTGGAGAATTGCAAATTGGACGTTTAATATATTTGTGGAATAGTTTCAAAATTAAGACATATAAATTATAATATAAATGAAACTAAAAGCTTATATATATCTATATGGTGAAAACTAATGTGGCCTCAGCCAAGATGTGCGTCATCATGGCCTCACAGTTCTGAAGCAGTTTTTACGCGGTAGATATTCACAAGTTTTTATATTAAGGGTGTAGATGTTCTTAGTTGACCGAATTTATTTCAGACTTTCAGTATTTTAAATTCTAATATATTAAATTTTATGAGCTCGTATTAAGCACTAACTTGCTCAACTGGTCTTATTATATTAAAGATTTCATAGATTTTATTCAACATCAAGATTGTCCATGTATAAGTCTAAGCAGTGGATTAAATTTAATAAAATTTATACTAAAAAGCGAGGGTAAGTGATTAGGACAATCTTTAAAATTTATACCGAAATGTAAATATAATCAACTTCAATTGGGGACCGTTATGGATGCAAGTCAAAGACTGTCGGTGGATGTAAAAATACTATAAAATCCTTACCCATAAGTACAAGGTAAAAAAATATAAAATACACAAAATACGTATTATTGCAAGGTCTGAAAAGGGTTAAATATACGCTATCAAATTCGTAACCTTCAATTTATAATGGAACAATTTTACAATTGCGTCAAGACACATCTTCACTCGACATAGGTATGACGTACACTAAATAATGTCCCCAATCTCAATAACAACTTATTAACCCCTATTTTTTTAGATGAAAAACTTGAATTCAAATAAATAAGTAAATAAAAATGGCTCGCTAGACTTAATCTATCAATTTGGCATTCTAAAATGGATTCACAACCCTTGAAATGTAAGGTGATGTATTAATTTGCTATTATGTGTGAAGTATTGTTTGTAACCACACTCATCATATCCGACACAGTATTGTCCGATTTTGATTCTCCCGGATCAGAGACTTCACAGGAGGTCACTCATTTTGATACTACTCCAGGTTAAGCACACTTAAATTCGAAATTCTGATAGATTCACGATTATCACGACTTTACAAATGGTATATAATTGATGCATTAAAATTTAATTTACAACCCTTAAATTAGGAGCAAACTAAGACCTCTATCACAAAATAAAATTGTGGAAGTTTTAGGTAACAAGAAGTCCTTTATCCACTTTGGATATGGCCCATTGGTTTAGTCACTGGACTTTTGAGCTTGGTAAGCTCAAGGTCTGGAATTCAAGTCCCACTGAATGCTCTTTGTGACTAGTTTCCACTGCCCCTGCAGTGACTTACCCGACCAGGGTGGGGAGGTGCCCTTCCGAGTCCTCTGAGATTAGTCGGGTTGTTGAGGGGCCCTAAAAATTCGTGTCATCCCGAACACCCCGGGTTAACTATAAAAAAAAATAAGAAATCCTTTGACTGGACAATGTTGGACCATTATAGCAAGGTAGATAGATTAGTTAGTTGGTCATTGCAAGAAATATATATTGTATTAGCTAATTGCAAACATAAAGCCAGATAAATTAATTACCTTGGAACTTGACGTTAACTACTTGACTTGAATATATATTCCAAGTTCGAAACTTGTCAAGGTTCAACATCTTTACTATATCAACTCCGGTGAGGAGCTTCCTACTCTCCTATACCAACGACCACATACTTTTTTTTGGATGAGTGAGAGCATTCATTACCTATCACAAAATATAAAATAAATAGATCAAATCAAATTAAGGAGTAGGCATTGATCAATGACCAAAATTGCGTTACTCTTGACTGAAAAAAAAGTAGTTGGTGATAACATATTGGAACTACCGGATGTTTCAACTATAGGAGTTGGATTGTACCAAATATGTGAGACAAAATTATCAATGCATTTGAATGAGATTGGGCAAACTCAATGTAAGAGGATTGGTCATTATAGGATTTAAAGAGACCCAGATATAGATAGTCTTATCTTCGTGTGTAGAGGAGTGGTTTTTTAATTTCAAATTTGTAACCTCCGCTCTCCACATTCAAAATGAGAGATACATTATTATTACTTGGAAAGCACTCTTAGGACCGTTTTGTTATTAGCATAATTTCGGCTTATATAAAGCTTCTCTAAACTTATGCGCCCATCATTATTAGATTATTCTTGCATAATTAAATATGTTATATTTATTGGTTTAGGGTCTATTTGGTTCGCGTTTTGTTTTTTGTTTTTGTAGGGCACTGTAATAGTGAAAAAAAAAAAAAAACGCATTTAATAAAAATTGTTTTGTTTTTACATAGTGGTGAAATGTTTCGTGAATGATGACTAAAAATCGAAACACTAATTTAGTATTTTCGTATATTTCTGCATGGTAGCGTTTGGTACTGTATCAATGAACATTAATTTTTTTAAATGATATTTTTAAACTCATCATTATATTTTTCAAACTTACAATACTTTTATAACAAATATGTTTTTTATATTTTTACTACCAAATTTTTTTAATAAAAATACCAATAATCGGCATTAAACAGAATGCCATATTTTAATTTACTTTGTTAGTATTATTTAGTCCTTCAAAATATCACGCCATTTTGAACTTTTTATTTTCATTCATTTGTCACAACACTCTAACAGGTTTTGTACTTGAAAAAAAAAAAAACAGTCTTTGTACGAAAGGTCCAGAAGTTTTGGAGAGTTTTGGTCAACCAATTCGTTGTGCACAAGAAAGGGTATATTTGACATTTGAATGGAACAAAATTGAACGCGAGGGGCATTTCGGTCAAAATGATGAGCAATGCCAGGAGAGCGATTCCTATCAACTAAGCAGACTTTTCGGACACTCATTCAATTCTATGTGAGAAACGGTCCAATACTGTGACTGTTACAAACATAAACCCTTACAAATCCTCATATTTACAATTAAAACATCATGGACCACCATAGGTTTTGGTGTAATTTGATAAAACAAAGGGCATTTTTTGAACACTCCCTCTATATATATAGTTATATGCCTCAATCGATCCATTCAATACCACTTGGTTTTTGCTAACTGTCTTCTCTGTTTCTTTATAACTCATTGACTCTCTCTCTCCCCTCTTTCTCTCTCTAAAATGATGCACATCGGTTATACACTTCCTTCACATAACATTCACCTCTTTCAGGCGAGACGTGCTAGCTTCAATTGTCGTGGTGGTTCACCATTAAACCCTGTAACAAGAGCACCTTCTGTAAAGAAGGTGCAGAATGTTAAGCCAGTCACATCCACCGAGTTGACTCGGTTGCATCTATCCAATCTCGAAAAGCTACTGCAGAAGCAAACTGAACCCAACCCACCTGATCGTGACACACAACCCGTAAATAAAGATACCAATAATGGGTCGATTCACGCATAGAGTTGAGCTACAGGTATCTAGAGCAGGCAGATGAACGATCATGCTTTCTGCATTGCTGCTTGTTTCGAGAAGATGCTGAGATTTCAATTGATGACTTGCTGAGATATGGAGTGGGAACGAGGTTTCTTCAAGGCATGAATACATTGAAAAAAGCAAGAGACAGAACACGTGTGTTGGTTGAAAGCCTCAAGAAATCCTACTTGTTGTTAGAAGGTAAAAATGAGAACTTCTTTAAAATGCATGATGTCATTCGACATGTTGCCATATCAATTGCATCAAGAGAGGAACATGCATTTCTAGTGAAAACCGGTGTCCAAGAGTGGCCAGAAGAAGATGAATATAAATGTTGCAGTTCAATCTCATTACGGTCCAAGAATATTCGTGAGCTTCCCCGTAATTTAAAATGTCTAGAACTACGTACCTTAGTATTGGAATGCAGCAATCCTTCAATACTAGAAGTTCCGAAAGTTCCAATTAGCTTTTTTTAAGGGATGGAAAAGCTTGAAGTTTTAGATTTGTGTAATATGCGCGTATTGACATTACCATCATCACTAAAAAATCTGCGGATGCTACGTCTAGTTGACTGCCAGCTGGTGAACCTAGCTTTTGTCAAGGAATTAAAGAATCTTGAGATATTAAGCGTTAGTGATTTTGATCTCAAAGAGCTGGCTCAGGGAATCGGACAGTTGACTCGTCTGCGGTTGTTGGATTTGAGAAACTGTTATAACGTAAAAATTCTTCCATCAGGTATCATATCAAGTCTGTCCCGCCTTGAGGAATTGTACATACCATGTTATTTTAAGCGATGGGGGGTTCAAGGCAATGCAAGCCTTGTTGAACTAAATTCACTGCTTAGCTTAGTCATTTTAGAAATTCATATACCGAATGACATGTTACTGCCCAAGGAGCGCCTGTTTGAGTCGTTGATCAGATTTAAAATATCCATTGGGAGTGGATTTTATCCTGAGGAAAATTACTTAGCGACAAGGATCTTGAAACTCGAAGGTATTACTTTGAAGAGGGAGCTTAACATGTTGATAGTTAAAGCTGAAGTACTATATTTAACTGGATTGGAAGGTTTAAAGAATGTGCTTGATTATAGAGATGGTAAGGGGTTTCTAGACTTGAAGTATCTTAAAGTTGAGGATTGTGATGAGATGGAACATCTATTCAAACCAAAATGGAATGCACACACTAAGGGACCCTCTGCATCAAGTTCTTTCAATAAATTAACTGTATTAAGAATTCAAAATTGTAGATTGAAATATCTCTTCTCCCCATCCATTGCAAGAGGCCTTTGGCAACTCCAAGAATTAAAAATAAGTAAATGCATGTCAATGGAGGAAATAGTTAAAGATGGCGAGGAAGTCGTGGATAAAATTATTTTTCATCAATTAAAGAACATGGAGTTGGAGAATTTACCAAACCTCAGAAGCATCTATGCCAAAAATATGAAGAAGAAGTCAACTACAGAGTGTAGATCTTCCACCCTTGCACAGGCTTTGTTTAATGATAAGGTAAGCTCAGACAAATTTTTTATTTATTTTTCTTGTCATGCTCAGACGTTAGCCTTCTAATTATTTTCTGTGACAACAAGAACTCTAATTTGGCTCCTCATGCAAAATGATGTTGCATTTTTATTTTAAACTAGCAAGTATGTTCATAATTTTTATTTGAATGTAGTAGAAGCAAACAGTAGTGGCAGAGGTAGAATCTTGTTGCAAACTTTAATAGTATAATACTGAGTAAAAAGCTGGGTTCTTGAAGTTTTTAATTAGAAAAATTAATATAATGAAATTTTCAGGTTGTATTCCCTGCCTTAGAGCAATTGAACATTTCATCCTTGGGAACCATTACAGCAATATGGGACAACCAATCACTCCTAGTGAATGAAGCAGAAGATTCATTTTGGCGCCTAAGGTACATGGAGGTATGTCAATGTGACAAACTGGTGAATGTGATTCTCTCTAATTTGCTTCCGAGGTTACAGAATCTGGAGATGCTTGAAGTTAAATGGTGTGAATCAGTAGTATGTGAAGTTGAAGTGCTTACCATTGAAAAAGGGTCTACGACATCAGCACCAACAATTGTACTCCCTCGAATAGGAGCAATGCATCTAGGAATGCTACCTAACTTGATGCACATGGGATTGAACAAAAAGGTACTTTCTGATAGTCCTCATGTCTATGAAAACCTAAGCGTTCTCTTCATTGATAATTGTAACAGTGTGAGAAATGTATTCTCACCATCCATAGCAAAAAACCTTGTGCACCTCCAAGAATTAGAAGTAACTGCATGTAAGAAGATGGAAGAGATAGTTGCAGTTGAAACTGGACAAGGAGAAAATAGTGAAGAAGATCTAGCCGATGATGAGATCCTCATCTTCCCTCAATTGAAGACTTTGACACTTGAATACTTGCCAAAACTCAAAAGCTTTTGTTGCAGTTATAGATCCAAAAGAGGGGGACAAGAAAACGAAAGAAGAAAGGAGACTCTTCCCATAGTGGAAGCACTCTTCAATGACAAGGTATGTGTGTGTTAACTCCTCTCTAAATGAAATTAACAGAACCTAGTGGAGTTATTTAGCAGCAGGAACAATCAGTCCTCCAAATTAGGCTTCTGATGATGTACAACTTTCTTTGTATAATTGAAATCATATAATTACCCTTTTCATTAACCTATAACACCCAGTCATCTTTCCTTAAATTGCTACACTATAAACATTCACGACTCTCATCTATCTTTTTATTTATTTTATTTTATTTTATCTCCAAATCAACAGGTGCTTACAATTTGCGTTACTGACTTGGTTTTTCCTTTTATTTTCAGTCATTTTTGGCCCAATAAGTTTTTCTTGTGCAAATTATACTCCTGAGGTAGTAGGTCTTTTCTTTAGATTCAAAAACCACACACATCTTGAGGTAGTATTGTGGTTTCATATTTTGCCTATGTCAACAAATCAGCTCAAGTCAAAGATGGATATTGCTTATGTCACCAAAATAAAATTTCGAAGAATGATATTTGCGCTTGTCGTAATTTATTTTTTTAGCTAAAATGTAATAATGGTTGAGCACAAAAATTTAAAATAACACACTTTTAACCCGAAAATGAAAATGTTTGATGTGGGGGCTTAATGTCGACTTTTGAATCAACAAGGCAAGGCTTTTGTAATTATGCTATAACCAAGAGAGGTGAGTGTTAGTTACGTTTTTTTTTTTTTTTTTCCCTTTAACTGTTATGCCTTAGAGCAAAGTTGTCTGGAGTTCGCTCAGGTTTTTCTCAGCATCGGTAGTGTTGATGCACGACTTTATTTTTTAATAATACACTGCTGATATTTTACTCGTATTTTTCAGTGTTAACTGGGGATTTTCCCTGGGTTTCATTCTTGAATAAAATTTGGCTCAGTGCTTGGTTTGGGCCTGCTACCAGATCAGAGTATTAGCTATTTGCAAGCCTGTTTTGGCAAATTTTTAAGTTCATAATATGATTTCAATGGTGAACTTTATGCTTTTGTTCACATTTTTTTTATGTATTATTAATTAAATTCAGAATTCTCAAGTATTTTCCTTTCTTGCAAAATCCATGCTAGTCTTGAGTGTCCATATAGCAATAAAAAAATCACATATATGGTTGACCTTTTAAATTTAAATTGTAGTGGGCTGCAGAGTAAGAAAGTGATCCATTGTTCTTGATCAAGCTAATTTTTACAACGCTGGAAAACAATTATTACTCTTTAACATTCTTTTTATTTTTGAATATTCTTATTTGTCTACAAAATGTTACATATCAAATCGTCGATGTAAAATCTGAGTACTACCTAATTGTGTGGAATTGCTAAATCTTACTCTTAACATTCTTTTGATTTTTGAATATTTTAATACTAACATTTGTTTTTTTTAAAGTGGTAGGAGTACAAGTTGTGTTAAAGAGAACTGGTTAGAATAATTTACTAATAGCTCCAGTGATGTTTTGAAGCTGCAAGTTTTGAGTCATTTTGTAGTTTAACCTATTATACCTTGTGCATGGACCACCTCCTCCCAAATCAAGTAACAAAATGTGATGTAATTGAATTTTGCAGGTTAAATTCCCAGCTTTGGAGGAGTTGACAGTTACAGAATTAAAAAGCCTTAGAGTAATATGGAAAATCAAATTATTCCAAGGTTCGGAAGCAGAAGATTCTTTCTGGAAGGTAAGGCTTATCGAGGTGTATGGCTGTCAGAAACTGGTTAATGTGATTCCATCCAATGTGCTTCCAAGGCTACAGAACCTTGAAAAACTTGATGTTGACTCATGTGCGTCAGTTGTATCCGTAGTTGAAGTGCTGAATGTTGAAGAAGGGTGTGCAACATCAGCACCAACAATCATACTCCCTCGGTTACGGGAACTGAAGCTATATTCACTGCCTAACTTGAGGCGCACAGGGTTGTACCAAAAGCAATATTTGGATGTACATCATAGCTATTCCGATCTAACAATTGTTGATTTTTTTGCTTGTGATAGATTGAGAAATGTATTTTCACTATCCATCGTAAGAAATCTTTGTCAGCTTCGAGAATTGAGAATAGAACGTTGTTGGAAGATGGAAGAAGTAGTTGTCATTGAAAAGCGACAAGAAGAAGAAGAAGAAGAAACCGTTGATGAGATCCTTGTGTTCCCTCAATTAAGGACTATGACACTTCAAATGTTGCCAGAGCTCAGAAATTTCTGCTGCAATTGTGGATCCAAAGAAGAAGAACAAACGGAGGAGGATAGTATTCCTGAGTGGCGAGCTCTCTTCAACCAGAAGGTACTCATGTCCTAACATCTAACACATGTTTCCTTACTAATTCTACCCATACTATTTTCAATCTTCCCTTTCGCTAACATTACCTCGATGTCAATCATGTCATTCTTCCTAACTGATGCACTTAGTAGTCTTATTTGCACATGTCCAAATCTGTTAATCAATTTTCTCTCATTTTACCTCCAATTGGTGCTCTTCAACAACTAAAACCTCATCCAAATATTATAAATAGAATAGAAACTACAATGAAATATTATAAAATTAATCTCGGAGCATGTTTATGCTTTCAATTGATATCAAGAACTCTTGGAACAAAATTTACACCATTTGCCAGGTCACATTATGTTCAGTGGAAGGGAGGAGGAGAAGATTTACATGTTTGAAGTTATGCCTTCTTTTCACTTCTTTGTTCTTCTTTATGACTAATACATTGTCAAGTTATTGGCATAATTACTAGTTAATGATATTTTCCAGATTAAATTTCCTTGCTTGGAGGTCTTGCGTATCAAAGACATGAAAAACTTCAAAGAGATATGGCATAGCACAGTTCCAACTGATTCTGTTCCCAAACTGAGATTTTTACAAGTGAAAAGGTGTGGCGAACTATTAAATGTTGCATCATCAAGATTGCTTGGAAGTTTCGAGAACCTAGAAGAACTCAAAGTGCAACTGTGTCGTTTCCTCGAAGAGGTTTTTAAAATTGAAGGATCAAATGCAGCAGCAGGAGTAGATGGAAGAGATGAGGGTGTAAGAGACGAAGTGGAAGACGATCTTTTGCTCCCCCGATTAAAGAGAGTGTCCCTTGAAGATCTACCATGCCTGTCATGCTTTTGCATTTCTAAATTGCCATCCTTAGTAACAACGTCAATAGAACGCTGCCCCAAATTGGAGATGCTTCCTCGCAATACCTCAACACTGTGAAGATAAAAACAATCAATGGCCCCTTGCAACCATTTTGGAATGAAATGGTATGTCTCTTAATTCCTGTTATCTTCACGAGTAAAACGCCCTATTACCTTCCAAAAAATAATTAAAAAGCAGCTATTTATTTCATGTCCTCTAATTTTATGGGAATTTATGCATCCATTTTCTAAATAAACTTAAAATTCGCCAAATAAACTTAAAATTCGCCAAATAAATGCCAGTGGCTACAAGAGGAACAGCACTGTCATGCCTACAACTTAATATGAAGTAAAATAATTTGAAAAGAATTTCCATGATTTCTAGAACATAAAATAGAATCAGAATTGAATATTAAATTTGGTCCAACAAAGTGATAGTCGCGGCTCGTGTGAAAAATAGTTCATTATGTTTCTCAATGCAGATCGATATTGTCATACATCAAACTCTGTTTTTTGGTACTTCAAAAAGAACAGTTTGTAAAAAAAGTTATTCTCTTTGATTGTGAGAGAAATGTTCATCTGTTAGAATATACATGTTTAACATAGTGAAAGGTTTCTGCAGGTTAAAATGTCCTATGTTAGAGAATGGGTACTCACTGATGGGGGAGCATCGCTGCATCTTTGAGGTGAACCAGTGCAGAAGGTGACTACCTCAACCCTACTACAATGGGTTGATAATGTCAAAGAACTCAGGATAGAATCCTGCTTTTCATTAGAAGTTAGTCTTCAAGCTTGAAGGACTCTATGCCATAAAAAGAGATTGGAAATAGCCTTTCCAAATTGAAAACATGGGATTGGTTCATTTACCTGACATGGTGAATAGTTGGTAACGGAAATCTCGGGAGCTTTTGGTCTTTTGCATGCTTTCAATCTTGTAATAGCCTGAGATATTCATTCTCATTCTCAATAGCAAGACATCTCACTAGTTTTTGAAATCCATTCTTAAAGGAAGTTAGGTTGGTGATGTCCTGAATTGCAGACTCTCATTTGTACACACGAGCAGGGAGGATACAAAAATAACTGGAAAAATATCACTAGCCACACATGCGAGTGACCTTAATGATTCTGTGCAGCAGTACATTTGGAAAGGAAAAGTAGGTATAGAATGTTTGTGAAATTTTACTGTGAGATGATGTAGAGATTTTTATTATTTTTATTTACCTGTGATTATGTTGAAAGCATGTAGCTTCATTGTTATTGATCAATTTCAACCCAATTTCATCTTCGAACTCAATTTACTTTCGATTTTCACGTTCAACTCTAGCAGCTCGTTTGCAAGATCATGTGAGTCCAGGTCTGCAACACTTTCCACATGAAAAATCGGAGTAGGCCAAGTCAACAACTGAAATTGGATATGAGAGGAAACATTGTCTTTTAATTAATGGGTAAAATGGTAATTTTATTTTTTACTTAAAGACTTAAAGGTTGTTTGATGCCATGGGATTAAGTGCAACATTCTTAGACTTCAAGGTTGTTTGCCAAAAAAAAAAAAAATTGAAAAAAAAAAAGGAAAAGAAAAAAAGGGTAGTTTTCAATTCAGGGGGTTTCTTACAATTCGTTCATAGTTCATAGGAATAGTGCACTTAACCCTAGAGAATATAATATCCACAACTAGATATTATATCATTTAATATATTAAACACTTATGAGGTGACATTGTATCATTTTCAATCTAGTGTTTCTAGAGAAGACTTCAATCTCTCATCTCTGTGTTTATGTACGGAACGGTGGTTCTCGGATCCAGTTACAAAGTGGTTCTCCAATCCATGGTGGTCATCCGATCTAACTAGGGGTGAGTCGGGTGACAATTCAAGCCCGAATGATTTAACTTTAGTGGGCGGACTTGAACGCTTTAATGGGTTTGGACTTAAATTACCATCCCTAGTTAGAGTCTTTGAAGCTATTATATCTAGCGAACCTCACAAGTTTTTATGAAACAAATATTGCGAATTGTTTACCTAGCTAAATGGGCACATATTATGGATAATGGACGACCTCATGTGACTTTTGGTCTTTCAAAACCTAACATGTTTAACAGTTCAAGCTTGCTATTACTTGAGATACTTGCACTCCCAGTAGCAAATCTTCTCACACAACTAAGTGATTAAAAATGTAGTGTGAAGGAAGAAATAGTTAGAAGTGAAGGACAAGGAGAAGAGGATGATGCCAGAGGGAAACCATATTCTCTCAATTAGTCTCTGAAACTAACTAGTTTTTGTGGGGGCAAATATTGTTTTTAAATTCCTATCTTTTTTAGAGGAGGTTACACTGGTGGGATGTCAGGTATTGCAGATTTTCACAGAGGCATCCTATTTTATGTGCACCACTACATTCTGAAGGGAAAAGTAACACTGCTGAATGTCATGAATATTTTTAATAAGAGTTATGTACATGTGTTTTTTCCTTCAATGTAGCAGTCTACTATCTTTACGTTTTTTTTTATAATTTTTGTTCTGGAATTACTGAATTACTGCAATAAACGATTCAGTTATTACTTTTCATTTACTCCATCCACTTCTCTTTAATTCAGGGGCGTAGGGGCAGGGGAAGAAAAAAGTAGCAAAAATAAACAACAATACTACTTAGGTCTCACTGGTAAGGACCTGCAACATAATGACCATTTAGGTGGACTAATAATAAATAGACACATTATATTTTAATTGTCAAATCATTGATGGTAATCAAATCATCATTTCTGATTTGGTAAGTGAATATTTACCCATCAATTTTGTTTTAGTAATTAAAGATGACATGTCCATTTATCATTGGTCCACCTTAATAGGAGTATGCTGTAAATTCTCAGTAGTGAGGACCTAAATATTATCCAAAAATAAATACAGGAGCGAAACCAGATGAAGATAATATAATGTTCAGCAGAGGAGGGTACCTATTATTGCATTTTTATTTTTATTTTTTTGTAAGTTGATACTCACACACATGTCTCCATTGAGACTTCACCTCCTAACCTATTTTTGAAAAATAAGAATTTAATACTTCTCACAGTTGGTATACATGATTGGTGTGTGTGTGTGTTTGAGGAGAGTCAGGAATGAGAATTTCCTATGATGGGTTATGGTACCTTTTAATATTTGAAATTAATTAGTCAAACTGCTTCCCCAAAATTTAGCTGTCCAAAAACTTACTAAAACAAAAAAAAACAAAACAAAAAAATCTAGCAATCTCAAATTATTTGTAGGATGTGAATTATTATTAGTTTTTGTGGGTAATTTAGCAATACAAAGAACTTTATTGCCTCATTTGGGACTTCAGGTGGAGGTTATACCAACTAGGTAAGGACCTTATTATCCATCTAATTTTTTTATTCATTATACTACTAATAATAATAATAATATTCATTACGGTGTAATATTGGTAGATCTGACTATGTAGAATGTAAGAGATTTAAATGGAGAATTCTTTTAACCTAGTGACCTTAGATAAATTTTAAAATGTGTATTCTCACGAAAGTTGAAATTTACCACTAGTCTCAATAGACCACCTAATCTGTTGGGTCTCGCGCAAGTTCGCATTCGTGAACATTGAACTCTATAATGCTAGCATATGATGTTACCACCAAAATATTATTTATTACTATTTAACTTTAGACGGTGTTAGTGCAGTTGTTAAGATGAGATGAAGGACATTTTTGTTAAAAACAAAGGTGTTAGTGTAACTTGACTAATCATTTGCTCCATCACTAGTATGCTTTGCAGTTATATACCATTATAATTGTGAGTTGCTGCCTTTTGGTACTTCATTAGTTATGGCGTCCATTTTTTTGTTTCTTCCCAGTCAGTCTCTATTATTTGCAGGTGGGACCCATTCTGAATCAGTGGGTGATGAAAATTGATAACATTTATTAGAAAATCTTAAAAATATGGAGATGGGTGACCAGATCCAATCCAATGGCCCACTGGGTTGTTGGTTCCAATTGCTAAGAACATATGTCTAATTTTGTAATATATAGGAAAGTTGAGTCTAAATTTTATATCTAATATTGTAGATAGAGTATATATATAATTCAACTAAAAAAAGAAAAAGAGTATATATATAAATTCTTTACTTTATGAGGGTAAAAACATAATTAATTTAAATTTTAGAAAATATCTACGTTCTACACTCCATTTACGGAGTATGTTTTGTTTTTAAAACCCAAATTTTTTTAAAAACAAAAAGTAATCTGTTTTTGTTTTTTAAGATTCCCCCTTGAAAAACACTTCCACTACTGGGTTAGGGTAAATCATGCACAAAAATATGGAGTCTCTCTGAGGAGAGATTCAGCTGTAGGAGACCTTAGGATGCAAAAGCAAATCCAAAGACTGACACAACATGTGCACTCTGTTTGCTTTTAAATTTTCAATGCATCAACCAATGGCGTTCATTTGTTTTGTTCTTCTTTTTGTCGAATCTTTTCCTTTTCCTTTTCCTTTTCCTTTTCCTTTCCAATCAACCTTTTCACTCTTGTAAAAAGATGCATCTAAATTTGCATCTCGTGACACACGTCTCACACCTTTGGATGCAAAAGCAAATCCAAAGACTGACACACCATGTGCCACTCTATATATTTGCTTTTAAATTGTCAATGCATCAACCAATAGTGTTCATTTGTTTTGTCCTTTTTTTTTGTCGAATCTAATTCTTTTTCCTTTTCCTTGTCCTTTTCCTTTCCAATCAACCTTTTCACTCCTCTTGTAAAAAAGATGCATCTGAATTTGCATCTCGTGACACACGTCTCACACCTTTGGATGTAAAAGCAAATCCAAAGACTGACACACCATGTGCCACTCTATTTGCTTTTTAATTGTCAATACATCAACCAATGGTGTTCATTTGTTTTGTCCTTCTTTATGTCAAATCTAATCCTTCTTTTTCTTTTTCCTTTTCTTTTCCTTTTCCTTTTCCTTTTCCTTTTCAATCAACCTTTTCACTTCTCTTGTAACAAGATGCATCTGAATTGGCATCTCGTGACACAAGTCTCTCACACACACACACACACACACACACCTCACTCTTTCAACATGCGACAACCATCCTCTCCAGCGCTACAGAGGTTCTGTAATCATACTAATGAGTCCTATTTATTCAATAACTGCAGAATTTCCCCAATGCTTTAGAGGATCCACCTATTATCCCTAATCTCTTCTATGCCATCTCTCATCTGAATATTTTACTTTTGTTGCATTTTAAATTATATATTGTATTATATACGAGATACACAAGAATTTATATAAGTGACAAGATATGTGAAAAGTAAAAAATTTAAGATAAATTTATACTATATTACATAATATAGTAATAATATATCTTACAATATATTCTAAAATAATTTACACAATACAGAAAAAACTTTCTAAACTAAATAATTCTAAAATATAAATTACAATATATTGATTAACTATCCTAATTAATTACCAAATCATTTTCAACATCAAAATATAACTTGAATAGTAAACCTTAATGTATCAATTAATTTCAAATTTATTTATTTATTCAAATCAACACTAAGTGAAACTAACAAACCACTTGTCGGGATGGACAACTTCATTTATCTCCCCAAGAACAAAAGCCAATGATACATTTTGCAATACTTCTTTTTTCCCTAAATCATTTTGCAATACTAACAATAGCTTTTTACCAAAAGCATATCCAACAAATGTAACAGCTTGTCCACCAATAAAATGGAGTCAGACATTTTCTTTTTGATCTTTCTTTGTGTAATAATGCGGTGCTAGACTACCAGACCACCATGACATGATTCACGTGAATTTAGTATTTTTTCGCTTTTATGTTTATTTGTCACTTGTAATAATACGTAATGACTTTCTTTTGTTTAGATGAAAATAGTAACAAAAGAAAAGAAATAATAATAATAAAAAAAAATAGAATGAATGAAAAGAAAAATAATTTTTTAACATGAATTTGGTTATGATAAAAATTTATTCAAGAGAATTAAAAAGAAATATCATATTATAGTTTTGATACTTAAATTGTCCTCGTTTTATAAATTAATAAAATAAATAGTAGAATAATAAAGAATTAATTAGTAGTGGTATATATAAAAATAACGATGGTATTTATAATTAATTTAGACCTTGTAAATTATTATTTATTTTATTTCTATAAATGATGAAAAACAATCCAATGTCCGGCTGAATTTTTTTACTTTTGTTGCATTTGAAAGCATAAAATTGTAAAAATAGAATTGAAAAAAAAAAAAAAAAAAAAAAAAAAAAATTTGATTACAACTTATGAACTAAATTTTCTTGTTGTGTGTTTTGTACAAGAAAAATTTTGGAGAAAATTGTGGATTTCAGGAATCCTAATTTTTCATAACTTTTCTTTTATATTTAACCAAATTCTAAAAAAGTTTCAAATTTTTTATTTCTTTTCTTTTCTGATTGATTCATTTTGTTAGAGTAAATTATACATAATATATATAATATACATATAAAGTCATGTAAATGAAGGAAAGGATTCAGAGAGATCCAAATCCCGAGTCCTTTGAATGCAAAACTAAAATCCTATTTGCTTTTTAATTGTGAATGCATCAACCAATTGTGTTCATTTGCTTTGTCGTTTTTTTCCGTCCTATCTAATCATTGTCCTCTACGTTTCCTTTTGAATCAATCTCTC